TTTCCTACTTTCCCTAACCCCCCCCTCCCCTCTCTCTCTCTCTCTCGTTTTCCTATCCTTTCCGCGATTTTTCCACTCCTTCGTTTGTCCATCCTTATTCTCATCTCCCTTCCCTCCTCTCTCGTAATGCACTCGAAAGAGGGGAAGCGGGTTCAAAGAAGCAAACGCCGTTTGACGCGGTGAAAAGTTTCGCGCAACTCTCTCTTTCTCTCCATCGGCGATCGAGAGGAGGGCAGGTCAGAGAGGGGCGAAATCGAAGACAATTTAATTTCTCCTTGTTCGACTCGCTTCCATCCCCAGAAATCTCGGATTCGCCTCTCCTCTTTACCGAGTAATCCTGCTAGATTGGAATTTTATTAAGCCTTTTTCCTCGTCTCGTCTGCCACGCCAAGTCGTTCGCGATGCAGAATTCGCTTGAATCAAGTCAAGTTGCGCAACGATTTTATTTCGATCATCTTTCTACATCACGATCGCTTTTTTCCCACGTTAGAGATACATATCTTTCGAGCACGCGGTATAATAAAAGGTGGATTGCAACGTTCGAATCCCTTTCCCGCGCCACAAAAGTGCCAATTATATCATCGAACATTTTTTTTCCAATTAACCCTCCAAGACGATAACCGTAACGAGACCTCCCCTCATTATGCGGTTAATCTCTTTTTCGTCGTTACCAACCGGATGAAATTCCCTTTAAAAGCGGCTGTGAAGGAAAGAGACCTGTTTGCCATTCTAAAACACTAACCCTTCAAGGGGGGGGGGGGAGGAGGGCGATCTCCATTAGAAACTTTCTCGCTGTGGCAAATACAAACAAGTATCCAAAATTCCAATTCCTCTCGATTTTAACCCTTTCGCTCTGCACAAGATATCGTATGATATGACGAGTTGACGATATGACGACTGGAGTTATTCTCTGGAAATACCGTATCGATATTTTACTTTTATAAAGCAACGATATTTCTCGAGCATATTTTTGGAAAGTCGCCCGTAGCGAAAGGGTTAATACCTTGCCCCACTCGAGGATCGATAATTAAATCACGTGGTTGCACCGCGCAGAAAGGAATTGTTCGCCGGGACCAAGATTCATCAATACGCCACGCAATACCTTTCTTCCCACCTTTCCCTCCCTTCCCCCCCTCCCCCCCCCCAATATTCATTATTCGTTTTCACGGAGACAAAGCGGAGCCGGGACGCGGTGCTGTCGATCGAACCTGGCCCCTTTCGACCCTCGGCCAACTTTTCGCCGCGTCTTCGAGAGGGGTGGGTCGCCTAAACGCGTCGTTTGTATGCACGGGGGAGGGAGAGGGTTGCATAAGAAATTCGAATTCGGGCGTTTGTGCTTGGTTCGAGATTGGAAGGATGGAAAGATGGTTGGAAAGGAGGGAAGGGACGAGCTGTGGATGGAAGGAATGGGATGGAAGATTAATGAAGCTGCCGATTCTCTACGAAATTGTGCATGTCCAACGTGCATACGTGTCGATGCACAGTTATCGTGGGAAATAATGATCCGGATCTCTCTGGGGTTGGTGGAGCAAGATCGGTCGGTTTGAAATGGTTAAAACGGAGTGGGGGAAGATGGTTGTGAAATTGGACTGGTATTTTATTTCTCGGGATGTTCGTCGGATCTTTTGCTAAACAAGGATCGGTTTGCAACGATCTGGAGGCAGTTTCGATTAGAATTCGATTCGAAGAATTTTTACGATAATTTAAAATTGAAAGGGGATTAACACGAGCAGGAAACGATTGCTCGAAACAAGATTGTAGATCTTTGTTTATAAATTGTACGGACTGCGAAAGGGAATAATGGCTTGGAGAAGAGAATTTATGCAGATTCGATAGAAACGGAATTAACGCGGCTCCTCCTCCTTCGCGTCGAATTGAATTTAATTTCGCGGATTAATTTCGTAAATAACACGATTTGCTAAAAAGAAGGAAGAAATTTAAATAAATAAAGGACGATGTGCGTTGATATGGTATTCGGATAAATTCGAATTAGATGAGGATGATTAGATCGTCGCTCCAAGGCGTGTCGTCCCCTCGTGTTAGTTTCATAAGAGGGAAAGGTCGGAAGGGATGATCGTGATTAATGCAAAACCGTGAATTAGATCTTTCCAATTCCATCGGCGCTGCCATTCTTTCGACCATTATGTACGAGAAAAAGGATGGATGATCCGGAAGGTTAGACGCGCAACGGGATGAAGGATGGAATGATTGGGTATCGCTGGGATTAATACTACCCTTTCTATTTTATCGAAGAAAGGAAAATCAATTTCAAGAAAATAATGAAAAAAAAAAAAAAAAGAAGGAGGAAGAAGAAAAAGAAACGCTGCCGATGAAAAGAAAGATACGTTTCTTCGCGATATTCCTTCTGAATACAAACTGTAATGATGAAACTTTCTATCGAAATATCGCATATCTACGTACACATGTACGTATAATCTCACAGATGTTATATTTCATCGTGGAAAAGTATATGTATAATATACATATATATAAGAGCGTATGTAAAGCTAAGGTTAAGAAGGCATAACCATTACATAACCATCTTTTTCCCCCAAGTTCTGACACGAGAACTTTTAAAAATCTTCGAAACTTTTGTTTCTTTTCCTTATCGAGTAGAAACGATAAAAACACTGCTTGCGAGATAATTATAATAAATTATCGATTTTTAATCGGGTAATTTACATATAATTTGAGAATAATTTATCCCAACTTTTCGTATTACATTTAAAAAAAAAGAATAAAAAGAAGGAGAAGAGCATTAGTTCTTGCTTGGTAAATTCATTTGAAAAAGAAGGAAATAAGCGTTGTTATCGTGTGTATTTGTGCACACGAGTCGAGAGCAAAAGGGCGAGAAACGTGGTCGCAGTTGGCACGGAAAATCGGGGTGGACAATTTTTATTTTTAAAAATAAAGGGAAAGGGGGAGAGGGAAGGATATACACGCACGTGGTCGGCTTTGTACGCGTCCATTCGGCGTGAAATCGGTCTTTATTCGTGCAGGCCAGTCTTAAAGCTCTGTCGCGTTAAAAATCTCCGTATTAGGCGTTCAATGGCCGCACCCGCTTTCCACCCGGAAATTCCGCCATTGAAATCCGGCCCGAGCGAAATATGGGCGCGCTCTGCTGTGTCAATTAACTGTTCCATCGGTCGAATTGATGCCTTTTTTCACCAGCGATGCCAGCTCTTCCACTCTTGTTTCGTCGAATTTTCGAGCAATTTGCATATGAACGATTCGCATTCACGATTACAAACGATTGTTTGTCTCTGATGAACAAAGATCGTGGAGCGAGTTGTTTTTCCGGCCAATTTGAAAAACAACGTTGAAAGTCTTTTTCTTTTTTTTTTTTTTGTTAAACTTTCGTTAGTGGCGTGGAATACAAAAAAAATTTAAAAAGTTTCGTCGAGAGTTTTGGAAGTGGAGAAACGAATCTTGAGGGTTTAAGAGGAATTCTGTGCGAATTAAAATTTCAGAAAAACGAGAAAATTTTCCTGTAAATGATAAATTACTTCGTTTGTTCTCCCTCTTTCTCTCGGTTTTGGAAGAGGATTCGAGTCGTGGCTAACTGGACGCGCGATAATTATCGGATTCTGGATAAAAAAAAAAAAAAGAACGAAACGAACTCTTTCGACGGCTCTCGCATCGGATTTACAAACGGATGAACGCGCGCCACGAAAAATATAAATAGAAATATAAATCGACTTGCGAGTTTCGATCTTCCACCGATCAATATCCATCCGAAATTTTTTTTTTTTTCCTCTAACCGTGAAATTTCGATAAACTAAACTTTTCCGACTCTTTGAACCACAAATCGACGCGACAGAAAATCGCCATTAAAGATAAAAATCGAAATTGGAATATCGATCGTTGGGAAAAATTCGTAGTAGAAATAATATTTTTTCGTGTACGAGAAATCATCTTCGATTTCGGTTCAATGAAATTTAATTTTATTCGAGAGGAGGATGAAAAATTTCCAAATTCGAGAGATATGTTAAAAAAAGAAAAGAACTAAAATGATACAAGAAAGAGAATTTTTCGTGAATACTAGCTTAAAAATATCGAATGGAATAAATATTCGTTTCTATCTAAATCGTCAAATATTTTTTGCTACTGCCTTTATGCTCGTGGTAAATCGAAATAAATTCGATAAAAAGAGGAAACAGTATCATCGAATATATTATTTTTCGTCTAAATTCGTCCAACACGTATATTCGTAACGTATTTTCCACAGGAAAAATATTCGTGAAAATATAACAAAGTTCTGATATTCAACAACTTCGAAACGAAACGAAACGTAGATAACATTATTTGTAAATAATTTACCTCTACGACGAATGTACGAAAGACGTTTCCCCCGCCAAGATACCATCGAACCATATACGGTTAGTATTCGAACGGGCGACCATTTGGAAACATCGTGCGCTGTTGGTTTAGAAACCCAGTTTAAACGATCGCAATAATCGATATTAATTAAATAACAAATAGCGATACACGTTGGAATAGGTGAAACGATACTTGGACCGGTTAAAACGCCATCGATGTTTCCTCGAAACGATTCAAGGGATCGTAAAAATTCCGAGAAACTACTTGGGGCTCGCACGATAAAGTTCGCAAGCACTTTGGAATAAAAAGGTGGTCGGGCAACCAACAAGAATCACTTGCGGGAATTCAGCTCGCCTCGCTTCATAAAATCGTTGTAAACTTAATAAAGTTTTCGAGTGTCGGTTCATCAAGAGTTTTCGATTCGATATAACGTAGTGGCCAATTGGAACGATTTGAATCTTTTTTCTTTTTTTTTTCGCCCCTCCATATTTTGTTCAAAACGCTCTATAAGAAGGAAAAAACGCCATTCACGCGGAGAGAAATTCGAATCGAGGATTCGTTCTTATCGCCAAACAAACTTTTAAGGAAGAAACTTTGTGTCTAAGGCGATCTAAGCGACTTGAGGAGAGACTCGTGGAGGAATCTGGATTTGTCCATTCTCGTTGTATGGCCAGTTACGTGTGAGTCGTGTTTTAAAATCCATCGCATTCTCGTTTTGATCTTTGAGCAAATTCGTTGAAGATTATTGAAATATTTTTCGAATCGTGATCGTGGAATTTGTGAGAAGAGCGAGAAGAAGAGATAACTTTATAATTATCGAGTGATGTCATATTCTCGCAGAACTTTCAGCGTTTTTTTTTACGTTTTCTCTCTTTCTCTCTCTCTCTCTCTCTGTTGTTTCCCCTTTAAAGTTGTAAAAATCTGAAAGTTTCTTTTTACCAACTTGGCGAATTGCGAAGATCTGAAAGGATCAGGATTTATATTGTAGCTTGGTTGTTGGCAACTTCGTTAGGACTTTGTAAGATTTCAGATAGTGGACGGATTTCGTCTCCCCGGTCGACTTATCGTATTTCGAGTTTACAGAAAACGATAAAAGAAAAGTAAGTAGAAATGAAAAGAGGAGTGAATAACGCATTGAATAGAACGAATCATTTTAGAAAAATTAATTAAATGATCCTTGATAAACAAAGGCGAATCGAATGGATAGAATCAAGAGGAGGGGAAGAAGAGAAAAGAGAGCGAAAAAGAGATCAATTGTTATTACGAGCAATTGTTAATTAGACCACGAATAGAAACTGATTGTTAAACATTGTTTTTCGATCTTTCGACAAAGTATTTTCCAACTGAATTCTCCATATCCAGTGACGTGCGTAGAAGTCTATGGTGTTCTCTGCGCCGACATTGCGTGACATTGCGCCATGAAAAGGTCCAGTGGTGGAAAATTGAAGTGGGGAAAGGGAGACGATATATCGTGTCTCGTGTACCGGTGAAAAATTCGCGATTTAATCCGGATTTATATCCATTTGAGGGATGGCCATACGCCGGTGACAGGTTCGAGTTAGTTTCGGTGGGTAGCGTTATTTCCAGCCTGTGTTGTGCCATTTTATGGTGGCGAGAGGAGAGGGTGAGGTCCGATTTTCCAATAAGCCAAGCTGACTGGAAAATAACAGGATGTCTCTTTTCGACAATGGGGGCCGTTTTTCGAAATTATGGAAAACCGGTTTTGGTATTTTCGAAAGAGGAGCGATGTTTTTTTCGAAAATACCAATTTACTTTTGGAAGATCGCCTCTTTTCTTCCTTTCTTTTTTTTTTGTATCGTTTTTGTATCGCTCGTTTTCCGATTATAAACGTAATTTTCGTTTTTTTTTTTTTTTTTTTCGTTCATTTTTCGTAATGGATATCCAAAAGAAAAAAAATGTGCGCTTGGATCGTTGCTCAACGTTTTATTTTCAGTTATTCGCCATTTATACACACGAGGCTTCCTAACGAATTATAAACGCGGTTTTACCATTTGCCAAACATTCTGGCTTTCATTACGATATATTACCTGCTGTAAATGCAGGTGGCACGGCGTTGCATCATGTAAATATATATATATATGTATAAACCACGCATAGATTTCATACCGCGTCATGAATATGAAACACGCGTGGAAATCATTGAGAGAAAACGTGTTCTCTGCCCTACGGATTATACTTTATCTCTTCGAATTAAATGCATACCGGAGATCGTCTAAATTACGCGTGACTAATTACGATCCGACTAATCGCGGCTGATATAAATTCATTTGATGGAATCAAATCCGATACGTTCGATCGCAATTTGAAACGTGTGAAATAGAATATTTATAAAAATATTATTCCGATCCAATTGTATAAGAGATCGTTCTTATTCATCTTTGTCTTCGTTAATAGCCTGAATGTAAATTCATTTTCTACTTGCCTATACAATTATTATCTATTCGTTCTCGTATATGAATTAATTAATTATAAATTCAATATTCAACGAAATATTTTCTCCAGCTTTTTTTTTTTTTCTCATGAAGATTTATATTTATCAGGAATAATGCATGAAGAAACCGAGTTTTATCAATTACTCCGCCATCGATCTCGCGAAACGGGAGAAACGTGTCGCGGATGTGCGATCGTAGATTACAATACCGTTCTCGCGGGTTGTTAAAGGAGAAACCGGATGAGCACGTGTCGGTGAGCATGAAGAAACACGGGGTTTTGATTGCGTTTACGTGACGCGGTCGCGTTTAGATGCTAATCGAACAACACTTTATTGCTCGATCTTTTTATGCCTGCTGGGTCTGAAGAACGGCCAGCCGGAAATGGACCGCTCGATAAAACGCTCGGTGGCCGCGTTTAAGCGAAAATAAAATTGATGTCTGCGAGAATAGTCTAAGGCGTTCAGAGATATCTGGAAGGGAGGAAAGCGACACACTGGCTAAGGTTTTCTGATGTGGAACGACGATAATTCGAATCGTGGAAATGTTTGCGAGAAAATAGGTTTTCGAGAAGAATCGAATGGAATTTTTTCGCGGGTTTTTAAAGATTTCGCACCGAGAGGTTGAATTTGGACGACTCGATTAAAATAAATCATTGCCCCTAAATTCCGCGCAAATCCTTTTTACCATTTCCACAGGATTTGAGGGGAAGGGTTTCCAAACTTCTGAATTTATCCACGAAATCCCTGGAACCACCTGTAACTCTCTCTCCACAACCCTCTGAAATATTACCTCGACTATTCGATTGTGCATGGAAAATGTTAATTCGCCGACCGAATTAAAAGCTAACCGAACGTATCCACCCTCGAAATACTATCGAAGGCCGCAACAAGGAACAACACATTTTGATCAAATTAAATGGACCCGCTCCAGACATTCCAGAATTCATTTCAATCCATCTCGGATAGCTCTGTCTCGAGCAACGAAACGTTGTTGCATACTTTTGAAATTGCTTATCTCTATACACATCTATATTTCTTCCCTCGAGTAAATTCATCATCGTGTTCCTTTCTTATTTTTATTCCTTTTGTTCTCATCGAGTAGTGTCTCGATAAAACGGGACAAACTATTATGAAACTATTTCTTAACGAGCCGATCTTCTTCCACTTGATCCACAGTTGTTTCAAATTATATTTCGGGTTTCGCGACGGGACGAGGCGCAAATGGGATTTCTTCTTCGTTTTTATACCGTGTCGTTTGATCGCGCTCGAAAATTACTGGATCGCAGCGTCTGGAAAACGAGGCTCCTCCCTCTGATCCCGTAGTACGCGGCCAGACATTATTCGCAATGACGATTCTCTCTCTTTTCACCACCACATCGTTATACCTATCTATTCTAATCTTAATCTCTTTGTCGTCTGGAATTGAAAAATTTCTGAACTTGATGTGTACATTTCTAGTAAATGACCCATCATTGGACTCGCTCCTTCCTTCCACGAGATACCCAAACAAAGACCACCCTCGAATGACACTTGCACCGCGTGAAACGTTTCCCTCAACTCACTTACGTACACTCTCCTCCTTAACAGCCGTGAGAATGGATCACGCCAAGATCAATCCCCCGTCGTCAGCCTTTATCCTCTCCATCGACTCGAGGGGCGCAGTGGCTCGTCGTTTCGCGGGTCCACGATCGTCCACCGTTGTCGCTCCTCCCCGAGTCGGATAATGGATCGGTGTAAACGGATCGATAATCCGCCGTTTCACGAAAGAACTTGAAACCGTTCACGACTAACAAAATGTTGTCCAGATAAACCACCGGTGGATAGACCCGTCGTTATCGCGATCTTCTTCGAGGTGATCGAACGAGTATCATCCTCTATTTACGATATGGTATGACTTTTGATTGACAACTGCCCCGCGACAATCCCTCTCTCGAAATTGAGGAGGAATCGAGGGGAGGCTGGTTGGAAATATATTTCTTTCGTGATTGGAGTATTAGGTATTGTGTATCGGCGAGAATAATTAAAAAATCTCGCCTAATTTTGCTTACTCGTGTAATTAAGAATGGGAGGGTTTTCATTGATATCTTCATAATTTACTTTGTTTCTTCGAATCATTCGTGATTATAGACATGTTCAAGTATATTATTCTTCGATATATAAATCCTCGGAATTTGTCAAACGCGACACGAAAATTCTTTTCGATTAAATGGAAGAATAAAATAAAAAGTAGGAATAATTAATGAAAAATGGATTCTTTTTTGAATCGAGAACGAAGATTTATTGCGTGCTGTGGATATAAATTTTTAGACACATCGAGAGAAGTTGTAAATACAGGACTGGCTAAATTTGCTAGAAAACTGGTTGCCTTTATCACGCATAATTTCCTTGGCTCGCCGGTTATCCTCACCTCCACGCGTACAGACAAGCGTTTTCGAGCGGTTTAAGCATTCTTAAGCGCACGTTTGCTCTGGTCTAGACGTCTGAGACGCGTTCGCGGATCATTTCCTCGCCTGCTCTCTGGAGGAAAACTTCTTTGAGCATCTTGCGTGCCACGGGCGAAACAAATGTTACATCAACCGTAGAAAAATACCGCGTCTCTCTTTCCCTTCTTCTTCTTCTTCTTTTTCCCCCCTCCGGGAGAGGAAATTTTATGCATGCGAGACATCGAATCGTTTCGGATGAATTGTTTTATTTACGAATTATGAAGAAATCGGAAATGGAAATGAAAAGTTTTAATTGCGATTTTTATTAACGGGATCGGATTTTATCAACGAACGTTTTCAGGTTCTTCTTTACTCGTGTATGATGTACGAATAGATTAATTGATTATAGTTTTTTCTATATATATATTTTAATT